ACTGACAATGCAACACTATCTAGTAAATGAAAATTAAAGGCAGAATTGTTTGGAAGTAGCTTTGACTTGTCTTTTTTTGATTTTGAAAAGTGGGGCAAGGAGCACATTCTATAAAGTTTCCACAAAAATCATTATAATTCAAGAGTGTATAACAAAATTCCAAGTAATATCTGATCTTCACAGTGGTTTATTTTGAAGACTAGATTTCAGTGAAATAGCACAAGCATTTGCCAATTTAGTAAAACTAACTACTATACATCTCATTTAACAAAAACAGGAAATCCTGGTAAGACAGAGAATATACCCAGTGTGTTCCCACAGGAGTAAAATTTTATGAATCCTTTTTGCTACTTTAACAGAATGCTGAGAAGGGGGAATGCAGAATAAAGACTTACTTCTTACAGTTCTGCAGACTGGGAAGTCCAATGTCAAGGTGGTGGCCTGAGACAGTCAGGTGCTGGAGCTCAGATCTCCTTTTTTTCTTCTTATAAGGTCATTAATCCCGTGATGGGGGCCCCACCCTCATGATATTATCTGACCCTGCATTCAAATATCAGACATATTTGAATTTGGGGATTAGTTTCCAGAACACTGACTTTTGATAAGACTTTTGACTCAGTTTGGGTCACACATCATAGCACCCTTCATAGAGAATGCAGTTGGGTAAAGAAGTTTATTAAAGCCTTTGGTGTCTTGGGATTCCCCTCTATGTACCTTCTTTTAAGTGATGCAGTACAGTAGCATTCAGGAAGAAACAGCACATTCCTTTATTAAAAGTGGCTAAAATAGTCCCCGCCTAGATTAGTCTTCGATGCATGTTTTCCTTAAATTATATCATTTAAAATCCATTACAATGCATTGTTAATCAGAAGAATGATCTCTTTGAAACCACAGTGTTTCATCCCCTTTATAGATGAAGACCCAGGAGGAAGGGAAAAAATTCAAAGAAGCTGGAAATTACTTGACCTTATGCATGGTGCTTGAGAAGGTTTATCACACATACTGGGGTTGTTCTAGTCAAGCAACCTCAGTTCTGTCCTGTACAACCACAGCCAATCCCTGTCTGTGCATATTTGGGTGTCTCTTGACTTGATTAAATGTGTTTCCTAACTTCTAATGCAACTAAAAAAATCCCAGTAAATAAAAGAAATCACAACAAACACCAAAGCAAGCAGTTATTGGTTAAGGAAAAAATGCCTGGGAAACAGGCCAGTGGAGTTGTGAAATATAAAACTCTTTTGATATAAATACATTTTAGCTGTTAAGACAGGGTTTTGAAGTGCAACTAAGAAAATTTCCCAAACTAACATTAAAATAAGTTTTCCTATAGTTATGGTTACCTTAAAATTACAGGGAAGCATCCTAAAGTTGATGCATTTTTCCCTTATTCACATGTTCCAGTATCTCTACCAGTGTGAGATGCTCCACAGTTTTAACTAAAGATGAAATGTGATAGCTATTTTGGTTTTGAGGCATTTCATACAAAATGCATATCAGTAACTTTCTTGGTAAATACAGATTACATCTAAGGTATTGTAAAAACAAATATTCTTTATAGTCACCACCAGCAAAATGTATTGACAGTGTACTACATGCCATGCTCCCTTTTAATCGCTGCACATGCACTGTGAACTTAAGACTGACTATAACCATTAAGATGGGCTACTGAATCCTATTTTTCTCAGATAATAAAAAGGAGGTACAGCATGATTAAATAACTTGCTTGAGGTTCACCAATTAAGAGAGTACCAGGATTTGAACCCATTCTGGGTGCTGAGATCTAGGATTTTCACCATTATTTTCTACTCCAAAATGACACACTAAGAAATGACCATGCTAAACATCTACAATATCGGTCAGGCTAATATCTGCAATATTGATCACATTATTCAATATATTCATTATGCAAGGCACCAAGGGTAGTTTTGCAGACAAAAAATGATATAAAAATTCATATAACTGTGCTCTCAAGTAGCTTCAAAATCTAATGGATGTTAAGATAACACAAACAGCTTTGATATAGCACATAATATGTACTTTTTTAAATGTAAAATTCAAATAAACTCAGAAAGGCTGAGTGAGATAGATGAAAGATCACGTGTACATTTTCTGGAAAAAAGAAGCATTCTTTGGAGTCCTCTGGCAGACAGGGGGTTAAAAGTCTTAAGTTTGAAACCTTCATCATGCTCAAGTTAACCTCTCTGAGCCTCTTTGATCTGTCTCACAGTTATTGTCAGCATTTAACAAGCATCCAATATCCATTCTATCCAACACTTTTCAGTTAAATTAAACATGATTGAAATAGATCAAGCATAAAAATAATTTTTTCAGAAAGGTACTACAATGAAGGGAACTATAGATACCACAAGAGTGTTAGGGACTTTAGGAATGGAAACTGGGGCTTTCTTTTCTTAATAGGTTTTTTTTTTTTAAAAGAAAATCAGTCTTTATTTTTAAGAGTGAGAGTAAGAAGATACAGAGATTTCTCAAATAACACTGCCCCACGCATGCACAGCCTCTGCCATTATTAATATTCCCATCAGAGTGGTACATTTGTTACACTTGATGAGCCAAGGGAATTAAAAAGAAATTGGGACTTTTGACTCAGTTTGGGGAACCTGGACCGGTCTGGCCTGCCATGTACAGCCAGGGAACTGAGAAATGTGACTGGCAACTCTACATAGAGGACCAAGTACTTCTCTCAAAAGGACAGAACAGATACCAGTGAAATCTAAAAGAGGTATCACAAACAAAAGTACTGATGAATAAAATAAAATTATTAACAGATATGAATGAAGACTTCATATGCACCAGGCAGTTTCAAAGCATATAACATGTACCATGTGGTATAATTCTTAGAGGAGAGAGCCTGGGCGATGAACAGAGCACTACTTGGATGTAGTATAGGAGGAGAACAGGGAGTAATGAAGTGGGCTCAGATGATGGAGAGCACTGAATGGGAGGCTAAGTTATATTTCATTTTATTGACATGTCAGAGACAATGCAGGTGACTGCACAGAATGCAAAACAGTCACAGCTCTTCATTAACTAATCTGAGTTAGAGGAGGAAGAAGTGGGAGATGGAATTTAATTTAGTTTGTCATCTCAATTGGGAAGTTCAGCAAAGACCTGAGTTCATCAGGTTGCTATGGGAATGGAAAACAGAAAAACAAAATAAAAAAGCCCAAAACATTAAAAGATGTCCTTGAGGGTATGCCCCAAATGACTAAGGACCTCTCAATAGTACCCAGCTTTCAGAAATTCTACCACCTCCCAATAGCACCATCCAGAGACCCATGACTTTAAGGATGGACTTTTGTGGGACACTCAACATCCAAACTACAGCAGTAGCTAAAATATCAAAATAAAGGGTGACAACTGGATTCGGAGGAGAATGATGATGAATTTAGTTTGGGGCACACTGAGCTGGGGCAGGTGACGAATTCTCAAAAGACTTTCAAGCAGGTAATCCCAAACATGGCATCATATTTCAATATGAGAACAAGTGGGGCAGGCAAACTCAAGCTTCTGAAATAGAATTGCAAAAAGAGCACTGTGAAAGAAGAAATGAATATACAATACAATGATACTTAAATTCTAATGCATATTGGGTTTAGCCAACAGGTTTGTAAAATTTTAAAAATTTAGATTTATTAGGATTTATTAGTAACACAATCACAGAGAATAAAGTTCAAGAATTCACCAATGATGGTCACCAGTATGTGCTTCTTTGTGGCTTTTAAAACCATATTCCTCATCATTCAAATTTATTCATAATTTAAATTTCATAGATAGCTTCACAATGTGGATCTTACAGGTCTTCCATCAGTAAAATTAATGAAAACATATCTTTCATGAAAGGCACATAAAGAATCTAAACTAACACATTTAAGGAATTTCGCTAACTTTGAATTTCTTTACAAAGGAAAAAAAATCCCCTAATGAAACAGATATGAATGTAGTTCATGGTTACCCATACACACACATATACACATACTTCAACAAACATACTTGAACAAAATGACAACACATAACTAAACTCAAGAACCACTTACCAGCAACACTTACTGAAAGACTTAGTTTTTCAGGATGAGTAAAAAAAAAAAAAAGCAGGGGGCGGGGGAACGGGAGCAGGGAGTGGTGTTCATTTGGTTAAAACAAGGTCACAGAGACACCTTGTAAATAATCGAAAGAAAAATGATTCTACCAATGTTCAATATCTAGCTGATAATGTAACACTTATTTGACCATACACACAATCACTGATTCTGTTAAATACTATTACTCATTTTCTAGATGTTACTGTCCATTTAATTGTCAGAAATAACAGTATAATTTAAAAAGAAAAAAATATAAATTTCAACAAGAGAATTTGAATATCTAAGAAAAAAAGTCATTTTAACATAGTGTTATAATTAAATTGGAAACAAGTTACATGTGTGAATTTAAAGCTTACATAAAATATCAGCAATAGAGTATTCAAAGATCTTTTGTGTTATCCTGCAAACAAGAAACTATTATGTATGCTAAGTACAAGGGATTTCCCAAAGGAAATACACAAATGAATGTCTCAAAATTCATTATGCTAAATTATTTTTTTACCCACAAAATGCTCTCAACATCCACCTAAACTCAGTTATAAATAAAAATGTAGTTATTTAAAGTGTATAAAATTAATCTGGCATCACCTTTAAGGTAATGCATGAATACTATCCAGATATTAAAATTCAAAGTGAAAACAAACCAAATGAATAAAAATTATGTGTTTATAAGTCTAAGATAGTATATCCTCAAAAATCTGAAGTTTTAGTTTTTCAAACTAAATCTAAGGTAGAATCAGAGCAGCATGCACTCATTAAATAAAAGAATGATTAAAATGCATACATATTGAAATAATTGATCCAAAGGCAGGTATACTCATCCTTTTTAAGAACGTTTCAATAAAACACATTAAATTCAAAGAACAAATCATGTTATTAAAATAGTCTGTGCAATGTTTGTACAAATAACATTTTTATGAATCCAAGTATACATATAATCAAGATAAGGGGCTGTGACATTTTCTAATATCAATTATTGTATCTAAAAATTATAGGACATGAACATAAATAAAGCTTTTTAAAACTGGCAAATACAGTAAAAGTCTGTCATTCAGTACAAGGTACTTAATATTTATGTTATTTCCAAAGCCATCACACTAGAATTATAAGTTGCCACTCTTAAACCTAAAAGTAATGTGGGAAATAAAAGTTATAAATACATTATACATACATTTGCATATTTACACTTACACAGAAATCAATATACTAGAGCCCAGCGTTAACACTGTCCTTCATTTTCACATTCAGGACCATATTTCACAATTAAGAAAGGTCCTTCTGTTACTTTCAGGTAAAGAAACAAAACAGAACCACTTTGGTCAGATCCCAGATGCATCTGCTGTATAACTACATTCTGTGTTGCTGCAAGACTCTAGTCTAGAGAGATCCATACATAAGTACTCATTTGGTTTGAAAATGCATTTTACTATTAACTGCAAAACTTAGAAGAGACCACAATCTTTTAGATTATTTTTTATGATGACATCTGTTACAGCATCAAAAACAAACTGCACGTTCTTAGTATCTGTGGCACATGTGAAGTGGGTGTATATTTCCTTTGTGTCCTTTCTTTTATTGAGGTCTTCAAACTGACATTGAATATATGCAGCTGCTTCTTCATATGTATTTGATCCTGAGATGGGAAAAGCAAAGAAACAATGTAAAAAGTTAAAGTACTTACACTGCTAAGCAAAAGGGATCTTAGAATATAAAATTTTGACTCTGTAACTGCATTTTGCCTTAGAGAATGAGAGGACTTTTCTAAATGAAAAACACCTAACAACCTTTAAGGACTATAAGTTATCCTTAAAACTAAAATCTCCTTTGCACAGTATTCTATATTTGTTGTGATCTTTGTTCTGACCTCAATCTCCAAATGCCCAATCTTCTTTTTACTCTTATCCTCTATCATCTACAGCCCAAACTGAATCACTAGAGTGCCTGATGGTGTCATGCTATTGCAGTTCTAGTCCAGTGGCAGATCAATAATGCTGACAGAATGCTGATTTTTCTACCCCCTTTCTTATTTACACATTAACTAACATTTATCATTTTTTCTTTATTCAAAAATCATACAAACATGTACAATGTAGCTTAAGGCTGAGACTACAAATAGTGAATGACACACTCCTACTTTCAAGTTACTGACTAAAGACTTCAGAAATTGTTTGGCAATACTAAAGAAAACTGCATGCATGCTCTAACCCAGCAAGTTTAGTATACACTAGATACTACTATCTGTACATATTCATTAGAAGACATATGAAAAACACTCATAGTGGTACTAAAGTTCGTCAACTGTAGCTGGCTAATAAATTCTGGTATATTCATACAACATGTTGCCATACAGAAATGAGTGATGAGAACAAAAGTACCACAGGAACACAGAGTAACACAGATCAATCTTCTTAATGTTTTGTTCAACAAAAGAAGCTAGAAACAAAAACACTACATACTGTGTGATCCCACAAGTGTTTAGAAAATATTCAAAATACACAGAAGAGGACAAAAGTCAAGATAATGATTACTCTGCGACTGGAAGGATGAGAGGGAGGTACTTGATCAGTTAAGGCTGGGAGGAGGCATGAAAGGGCTTCTGTGACCCTCCAATAGTCTCCTAACTCCAGTGGTGGATGTTACTTCTCCACTTTTCACTTTGCAAGTTCACTTTTAAAAATCCAATACTTTACTTGTACTGTCTATATACATATAATGGTACTGCAATAAAATATATTAATAAATACAATATGATAAATAAAATAGTTGAATAAAATGGTCCTTTGAATACATAATTTAAATCCCTATTTAGTACTAATAATCCAAGATTATATGTCTGGCTTTCAAGGTCCTCTGTAGTCTGTTTTGGATTGCTATTCTGAGGCCCTCTACTCCCCATCTGACGCTCCCTTTGTTTCAGAAGGACCCAATATACAAACTGCCCCTTGTGTTGCTGAACGTTTTCCTCTGCACTGTCCTGTACCACCTGATTTCCCCAACCAGGCTTTCAGGTTTGCTCACGATTATCACTACATCTAACTTCCTAATTACCCCAATTCAGATGGGCTCTGTATCATTAAAACCCCCTAAAGACTGTGGAAACACTCTATTTCAGTTTTTGTTACATTGTTTTAACAGGGTCTCAAATTCCTTTTCAGCATTATGTCTCCTAACCAAGAATGTGAACACATCAAAGATAAACATCGTCTTCTATAGCTTGCTCAGTTCCTTTCATGTCTTACATGATACTCTGTAAATGAAGCATGACAAAATCCATAGGGATGCTGGGCTTACAGAACTCATTATATAAAGGACAAAGAAGTAGTAAAACTTGAATAAGTTTACATTTGAATTCTGATGTTGCTAGAAGATAATCATATATTTTAACAAATCAATTTTTATCTTATTAAAGCATAATAAGGTTAGTGCTCTGAAATTTTGAAGCAATGAACAGTGTCTGCTTGGACCAAGGAAATTACTATAACCCCTTCATTAAAAATATGTTTTGGAGAAAGAGCTTACACTAAGTGCTCATTAACTATAAATATTTAGTGTAGTTGGTTAGATTACTATACCAAAGAGCTACAAGTTACAGGACTGAGCCAATGAGCACATTTCTTAATCTGACTTTAAGTCTTAAGAAAATGACAGCAAAGTGTGTGCTTCAAGGTGATAGGTATTTTTGAACATGTGACGGAACTTTCCTAAACAAAAATGAGTATACAAAAAAGGAATAAGAACATTTTTAAGAATGAAGAACTGAGAAGCTGATGATATAATTAAAAGGGATCTGAGTAAAAAATATGAGATTAGTTTGAATTTCAGGTGCTAAGAAATGTAGAGGGAACCCAGCAGTTGTTAATTCGAGCCTGGGGCTCCAGAGAGAAATTCAAGTTGACAAGAATGTGTCAGAGAACAGATAAGTCTGTGAAAAGGCAGAGTGCTGAAGGACTGCAGGACTGCAGATGGAAGCCAGTGAAATGGCAACACAGGAAAAAGAGGTAGAGGAAGAGAGCACAGGAGCAGGCAGAGGCTGGAGACACAAATGAGGGTGTGGCTTGGGGGCCAAATAGGCTTGTTCCATAGGAAGCAACAGCCATAAGAATGAGAGCTGAGGCTGAAGTAAGCAGCAACTGAATCAATACTTATAGCATGCAGTGCAGATTTTAAATTATAATCTTAACACTGAAAATATGAAATAATGATCTAATAAATCTTTGTGGGCAAAGATTCTGAAATCAGGAATTCTTGCTAATTTGACAACATAAGCAAAAAGTCTTGAACACATTGTATACGTGGCAAGGAAAGGGCTAACAAGTACATGCTTGGTTGCTGTAAAATTGCTATAGGTATACAATATTTATGGACTAATTTGGATACTTTTTTATGAATTAATACATAATAGCTACTTCAACGTAAAAAAACAATAAAAAATAAACTGAAGAACATGTTCAAGTAAGGGAAAACTGAGCTACCTTATTCTGAATTACTCCAATCTTGGAATTTGAACAATAAATAATTTTATTCCTAATAAGCACTAAAAATCTTTCTGAATAAGGTAACTTAGGATAACGTGACTTTCCAAAAGCAAACAAGTTTTTAAGCAAGTCACTGTATAAAATTATTGTGAACCAAAGTATAGCTTCACAACACATAAAAAAGTGCTGTAATAATGAGCAGCATTTCCCTTTTGCTTCCACAGAGAATTTGATTAAATGTAGCCTCATTATTAGTGGTCTGGATGTAGGAGAGCAATCGACTTGGGTCTGGAACTAGCCTCTATGGGTTTGTCAAGCTCAAGCATTCACACTTATATGAACTGAGCAATCCAAGTACTGACATACTGGATTGCCTAATATTGCCTGGAAATGGCAGTTATTAATGGTACAACTATTAATTATTATTAAGATAGACTAAAAATGTTGTTTATAGTGAAATAGTTCTTGAGATTTCTTTTTTTTTTTTAAGCAGGAAAGACTAGACAAGGGTAAGTAATAAACTCTTCAGAATATTTCCATTTAGAGATCATTTAAGTCAGTGGTAGCTATAACTTTTGCAATTAAAGCACAGAGTTCTCTTTACTAAAATAAAATCTTATTCAGAAGCCCAATGTGTAAAACAGATGAGAACTGAATTACTCTGTAAGAGAGGAGCTGTAAGATGGTAAGTGTGGGAGGGTAAGTAGCTCTATTCCCAGTGCTCGCTCCTGATTGCAGGTTAGGAGGGGCCAGACTAGATTCAAAACAATGTATGAACCCAATTCCTGATTTTACAGATGGTATACTGAAGCCTAGATAAATTGTAAGTCTTGTTCAACGTCAAGGAGCTTGTTTTGAAAAAGCTAGGATTGTACTTCAAGTCTATTTTTTTTTCACTCCCAGTGCTTTTCCTATGGTAGTAAAATTAAAGCATCATCAACAGTCTCGTTATTGAAGTTTAGATTTCATAAGAAACCTTCTCTGATGAACCTTCTCTGATGGAACCAGAGTCAGCTGTCTCGCCGATTATTCCTTATACGAATGCCCATGTTACTTCTTAGTGGTATGGTGCACTGCTCTTGTCTGTTTATGAGTATGTCAGTCTTTGAGTTCAGACAGAGAACAGAGACATGTTTTATTTATGTGCATCCCACAATACCTCTCATGGGATCTGTTTCCTGGATGAACAAACCAATATTTTAACTTTATGAAGACTTGTAGTCATCACTGAAAATTATCTATCAATCCGCTTTTCCATAAAATGAACACATTTTCAGTAATCTCATCCACATCTTGTGCTCAAATGCAGTTTGATAAATAATATCCCCTCAAGGTATAAGGATTACCAAGTTGAGAGATTTAAATCAACTGAAATCTTGCCGTAGGGGAAGCTTTACTTAGAAATATATGACATGTTAAGTTATTCAAAGAAAAGCAAAATACCTGCGTATTCTGGATAGCATATAGTGAGGGGGCTCTTTTTGATTTTTTCTTCAAAGAGATCCTTCTTGTTTAGAAACAGTATAATGGATGTATCTGTAAACCACTTGTTGTTACATATGCTGTCGAATAATTTCATGCTTTCATGCATTCGATTCTATAATAAAAAATAAAATCAAGTTTTTATTAACAGCAAGGATCTGGATGACTATTTTTAGAAAACACAATGTTCAACAAAACAGGGCTTTTTAGTTGAAAAAGAGGTAACTCTCCACTAAAATGAATTTCTACCATTTCAGAACAAGCACACTTTGATGTTAGGCGAGACAGGTGTCTCATGGCTTTTTGCACTCAATAATTACTTGCTGAGTGTTCGCTGTGAGTTCTGTGCTATGCCTGGAAACATCCTGCTGCAGGATGTTATAATCTGATGCCCAACAGTGAACATCTGAAAAGAATTCATGATTATAGAGGTCATCTCTGTTTTCATTAAGAGGTAAGTGGAGCTTTTAAAGATTAATAAATTAAATTTAACAAGTGAAATTCAATTAGTCTAACACTCCAAAGAAAGAAGACTTCCAATTCTTGTTTCTTGCCCTTCCAGGGTCTGTATTCAGCAGGGACACTGAGATATTTCATAGAGCTGAAATGAAAGAAAGTATAGTGTTGCACTGTACCTACTGCATTATAATTGTATATACTTGATTTTAAAAACACAAACTGAGCCTATCTCTTTTTTATTTCCCCCATGTTGCATTAAAGTTAATTTAAAGTAATAGTTTAAATTTCTATTTCTACTTCTCCAAATTAATGGCAATGAAACATATCTAAAAATTACAAAGCATAGCACACATCAAAGATTACTAAACTGCCAGAAATAACAAGAAAAAATGAGTCTTGGATTATCATGGACCTAACTTTACTTTCATTTAGTCTGTAAGTACAGCATATTGGAAATGCACAGTTAAACATACAGGGTTGAGGTAAAATTGACTCTCAATCTCTTCCTTAAGATGCATCTGTGATTCTTTAGCATTCTTTCCTTAAATGCAAACAGAAAAGTTGAAGAAAAGAGCCTGAACTTTCAAATAATTTAGGCATAAGCAAGAATTTCTCAAGAATTTTTCTCAGAAAAGTTCTTGGCAACACCATCTCCAGCTCTGCATATTTCATGCTCCAGCTTCAAAAAGGGTTGTACTTGCCATTTCTTCATCTTCAGCTAGAACCAGGTCATAGTCACTCAGGGCCACACAGAAGATAATGGCTGTCACTCCCTCGAAGCAGTGGATCCACTTCTTCCGCTCAGACCTCTGACCTCCCACATCAAACATTCTGCAAGAGCAAAAATCATGGGTTGACATCCCTTACATGTTCAAAAGCTCTGAGGGGCTCTGTAAAAATGCTCCAAACAGCTGGAGGAATGTGGGATGGGAAGAAAGGAGAAAAGGACTGAGTGGGAGGAAAACAATGTCACAAATTGGTTTTCTCAAAGGGAAAAATGTCTGTTTTTTTTTTTTTTTACATCTTTGATTGCAAAGTGGGTATCTCTAATAAAAATAAACACCCTCAACAAACAAGACATTCATTAACATATGAGAACACTTAGGACATTAAAGCAAATACAAATGAAAGGACTGTCCTACATGTAAACACTGAGAAGTCACATGAAGCAACTGGGGAATACAAAGATCAAAGAGTACAAATTCAATTTGCCAGTCATGGAACATTAGGGGCAGAGGGCATGACTTCCACTTCCTACTGTGAGTTTCTCTCAGAGGCAAGAGCCAGTATGTTATTACTTTCATGTAAAGGAGAAACAATTCCAGGTAGGAAAATGTAGGATAAGCAAATCAAATTCAAATAAGGGCAAAAAACTTGCCTAGATGAAAAAATAAAATTATGGTATGAAAAAAACGAGAACTGAAAATATGAAACAAATGGTGGACCTACTGAATAGTCATGGAATTTGGAGTGGGAAAAAAAAAAAAAAAAACCCTAAGCTTTTACACAATATACAATAGCGGACCATTACAGGTAAGTGAAGGAGGTAATAACACTATCAAACTGCATAGCGACAGTGGCCTTTTCCTCTTTTTCCTGGCAAGAGATTATAAAGTTAAGCAAAAGTTTAAATTTGCATAGACTACATTATGCAACCTAGAAATAACCACTTATATAATGGAAACACCATGCAAACTGGTACATTTTTAAAAGCTCCATTTATCTAGATGGTGCACTAATTAAAACAGTCCCTTGTTTAATTCCCAGGCAAAAAGAAGTTTCCCTACAGAGCAGTACTGGCCTATAAACCAACTCTGAGCACATCAACTACTATTGTTACTTATATCATCATTTAAAAATGCAGCCTTTGTTTTGGTTAGCCAGAAATTTTTCATTAAAGTGTGCCACATAACAAAAGAATTCTACCACATAAGTCAAAATGGATAAGAAACAACAGCAACAAAAAAGGATAGAATACAAAATGGATAAGATGCAAAAAAACGGCAATAGAGGTCAAACAAGAATAAAGTAAAAGAAAATATATTTATCTTAATTGCATAAACATTTGTAACATTGCTTTAGAACATGACTTGAAAATAATAGATAACCAGAGAGCTAGCCTTTTCTTAGAAAACTACTCTGATCAAATGTTACCTATTCTCTGTCTTTTCATTATAACAATCCACCTCAACCCATCCCACATTTTCTCTCTGTGCTGGTGACTTTTGTGTTATCACCTTGACTAAACTATTACAGTTATTTAACCAAACACTCCTCTAGGTGCGGCTGTGAAGGAATGTTCTGGGTGCAGTTAACATCTATAATCAGCTGACTTTAGGTCAAGAAGACTGTCCTCAATAATATGGACAAGTCTCTTGCAATCAAGTCAAAAGGGGCTAAGGGCAAAAACTGAGGTTTCTCAGAATAAAATGAAACTCTTCCACAAGACTGCACAATAGCCTGTCTCTGAGCCTGTAAACCTGCACTACAGGCCATCAGCATCACCACATGGAAGTCAATTCCTTGAAATAAACACAACTTATTGGTTCTGTTTCTCCAGAGAATACCAAAACTGGTACGAAGACAGGGGTGCTAAAAATGTGTAAGTAGCTTTGGAATTGGAAGATGAACAGCAAGTAGAAGAATCCTGAAGCACTTCACAGGGGGAAAAAAAGAAAAGAAAAAAAAAATCTAGACTATTTTGAAGATATGGGTAATAGAAATACAGGTATTAAAGACTCAGATGGAAGTGAACAGTGGGAAAGCTTTCATTGTTTTAGGGAATGCATATATTGCCATGAACAGAATGCTGGTAGACAGATCAACCTTGAGGCTGTTTTTAATGAGGTCTTAAAAAGAAATAAAAACACATTATATCTTGTAATCCCAGTGGCTTGGGAGGCTGAGGATCAAAAGTTTAAAGCCAGCAACTTAATGAGGCCCAAAGCAATTTAGTGTTACCTGGTACCAAAGGTGGGCTGTTGGACATGTTATACATTGTAAAATGACAACCAGTTGGCTGAATTGGGTAGAAGACAGAACTTGTAAGCAATGATTGTAGATGTACAGTGGAAGATATTTATAAAGAAAAGTGTGAAAGGTTCAATTCTATTTTTCTATTTTTCTCTGGTGCTCACAGTAAAACAAGAGCAGAAAGGTAAGCTGAGCAATGAATTATTAAGCAAAAAGGAACCACACACACACACACACACACACACACACACACAGGGAAGAAGGACTCCTGAAAACAGGTAAATATTGGAGTGACATAGCTACAAGCCAAGAAATGCCATGAATTGCCAGCCACTACCAGCAACTAGCTAGGAAGAGGAGAGGAGATTCTTTCTTAGAGCTTTGAAAGGGCACAAGGCCTAGCTGACATATTGATTCCAACTTTCTAGCTCCCAGAACTGGGAGAAGATAAATTTCTACTTGTTTTGGCACCTAGTTTATGGTAATTTGTCATGGCAGCCTGGGAAGTGAGCAGATCCTCTTACCAAGTATTTTTTTTCCTATAAATTATTCTTTTCCCTATTGCTCTTCTCATCTCATAAATATTCAATTTGTATAATTTATTTTCTCTTCCACACCCCAGTTCTACCCCAAGAATGTAAAGATGAAGAATTTTTTTTTTCTCTTTTTTGTTCACTTTACATCCGAACATTGAACACACATAGCAAGTACTTCACAAATCTTTATGGTCTGAATGAATAAACCATGCCTAAAGAATATTAACACTTTAAAGGAATAATAGACTTTGTTATGTTCAAAATGTAGATCTACCAGTTACTTTGTGGAAAACGTAAATATAAAAGAACTTTAGTTGTCATTTAATAAGTAATTTGACTACAGAAGAAATCTCTTCAATGTATATATTTAATCAATGAAATATAACTAAATGAGGATCCTTCATGTATTTCTTATGAACAAAGAACTTTTGGTCTAAGCCAGTGATTTTCAAACTTCAGTGAATGAGAATCAATAGGTGGGAGACGCGATACTACTGGTCTGGGGAACATATGTTTGAAAGTCAATTAGTTCTTAAGTCAAAGAATAACAACTGGGAATTGAGATCAGAAATGACTGGACTTTGCTTAACAGTTCAGTGGCATTTAGAGAGAGAGAGATGAAGATAATCACTGGAAGAACCACTAATTTTTATCAGTCTTAAATGTTCCATGAAAAGGCAGATAAAATACAAAGCATTATTCACTGTTTGACAAAGAAGACAGAAATATCTTAATTATTTAATATGTTTTTTTAAAATTCTGAATTCCTCTATTGTTTAAAAGAATAACAAACAAAAAAGTAGTATGTTCTCCATAAAAAAAAGATAAGACTTTTGACTAGCATCAAATAGGGAATGAATTTGAGTTTTCACTGGGTTTCTGGAGAGAGGAATAGAGGGGAGGCTGAATACCCTGAGCTGTGTGCTTACCTGTCCTTGGACTGTCACCTAATACCACTGTGATCAAGACTGAGCAGTACAGAACTGACCAACTTGTATTTCACACTTATAAGCAGAACACTATATTCCAAAACCTATTACACATTTATAGTAAAGGAATATATATTTATTGTACATTATGCAAATTTTCTAATAGAAGGATGCATTAACACTGTATCTGAAAATGGTTTAATAAAACTGTTGATTCTTTAATTAAAGTAAACCACATGGGCATGGGTCATAAATGTCCATTCAGAGAGATGATAATATGAATTCTTAAATTAAAATAGATGCCCTATTGCCTCATTTTGAATTTGTTAATGCCAAACACACAAATAAATTTGAACCTTAGTTTACTCTTTGGTTAAAACCAAAGAATTATAACATGAAATACACTGGAACTACAAGATGATGACTGCATAGAGAGTTCCCAGCAGGATCATTCTAAACATGTTTCTGCCCTCATCCATTCTCCAATGAGGATAAAATAAAAAGAAAAGTTGGGCTGGGTGATGGCAGCATAGTGGCTCAGGAGGGTGAGTCAGGAGGATTTCAAGTTCAACCTCAGCAACTTAGTGAGGCCCTAAGTAATTTAGCAATATCCCATCTCAAAACTGAAAAAGAAAAAAAAAAAAAAAAAAAAAAAGGCAGGAGACTTAGCTCAGTGGTCACATTGGTTAAGCATCTCTGGGTTCAATTCCAGTACCAAAACAAACAAACAAAGGTTGGGGGAGGGGGAAGCAAAGTTGGAATCATAGATTAGCAATGCTAATAATTTAACAGAACTCAAATAAAGACAAAATTATCTGAAGTTCTATAAAAACCTGTGTTTATTTTGTAAGTCAATAAACCAGAGCACTAATTACTAATTAAATACTTTCCATTAAAATATACCTCACCCAAGAAGCCCAAATGGAGCAACATAAATGGACTTCCTGGGAATCATGGTGAGAGTCAACTTCACTGATCTTAGGACATGGTTGATGTTGAAATGACAGTTTTAAAACATGCAGCTAGATTTTACCTAAATAAGTGAAGAGTGTGGTCTGAAAAAAAAAATACTTAAAGTACATTTAACTAGGATGAAAAATGAATTTCACAGTCAGCTTGCTCTTAAGTATCAAGTAACTGATTTAACATTTGCCATTATCCTTTGTCACCATTTATAGTTTTAACCTTTGTGATATTTTTTTAAATAGGCAATAATTTGCTTTATCTTTAAGCATTTGACCAAGAGCAAGGCTGTGATAGACTCTCTGTTAAGAATCCTTTTTTTTTTTTTTTGGGGGGGGGGGGGGGGGGAGTGTCCTGATAGAAATTCTAAGATAGTTTTTAAACTATAATTATTAATATATATTATTTAAAAATTTATTTATTAACACATAATTGTACAAATTGATGGGATACACCTGTATTAACTGTGTCCATCCACCCTTCTTTCTATTCTTGGTGCCTCATTTTCCTCATTGGACTTTTTTTATTAGTACATATTTTTTATACAGCTACTTAATAGGAGAACTTAAGACCTAGAATCCTTACTTGCTTATCTATAAACTTATATCAAAATAATTTATAAGAACACAATCTTTAACAAGTAAAAAAAAAATCAGAAAGTAAGATGCACTAAATTTAAAAACGTAAATTCTCTTTTTAACAGTAAACTTCCTTAAAGTTAACAATCACTTAATAGTTTTAAGATAAATATGATGACAGTTCCCAGATCAGACATATCACATGGTCATTAAGCATCTGACAAGTACAGTAGTGTACCAAAAGACAGTAAGTAATTCAAGGAAAGAGAACACCAGTAGCTCAACATGACACTGGGGCTTAACAGTGAAATAAGCTCTGGGTGTTGTGGTGCACATCTGTAATCCCAGTGGCTCAGGAGGCTAAGGCAGGAGGGTTGCATGTTCAAAGTCAGCCTCAACAACTTAGAAAGGCCCTAAGCAAGGCCTTAGTGAGACCTTAATGAGGCCATGTCTCAAAATACATAAAATAGAAAAGGGCTGGGGATATGTGACTCAGTGCATAAGCACCCCCGGTTTCAATCCCTGGTACCCTTCCACCAAAAAAAAAATTAGACCGCTTCATGAATCAAGCTTAGTTAACACTGCCAGAAAAACTAGCTATGATCTCAGTATTCATTTCAGAAAGCACAGCAATGATCTTTTTTTTTTTTTTGGTGGGTAAAAGAGGACATGGAAAACTGAAATGGAGCTTTTGTTCTCTAAAAAACTCAGTTCTTTGAACCACTGATAAATCAGTAAGAAAAGGAAGTAACAAGTGTATTCTCTTTCAGATAGCTGTGGAAGCAATCAGAGGTATAGTTGCAAATATTTAACAGTGCTTTCAGCTTGTAACAGTTAAGCTTTCTTTAGGAAGTGAACCAATGATTTTTATCTCTGGCTTGGAACATTTTGTTAATGTTTTTAGAAATTCTGCTTTACTGTCATTATCATTTCAGAGCATTAGTCTAACCCATAATTCATATTAAAGCCCTATTTTAGAACGATTATCTTGAATCAAAACATTTTCAATCAAAGTAAAAAAGAAGAGATAAAATAATAACAATATGGGATACTCTATTTGTAAGCCAAATTACTTTTTGACATAATTACTGAACAATTTGTTGGTTGTTTCTTTTTTTTTTTTACTTTTAATCTTTTGTTTTTCATTTTTGATTCTACATTTCTGGAACTATGGGGATGGAGAAGGATAAAAGCTAAGGGAATATATATAGTCTTGTAAAGTTTGAGTTTTTACAAAGAATATAAAAATCTTCAGTAACAATTTGAAAAACAAATCTATCACAAGTACAAAACAAATGATCTATCTAAACTCTTATAATATTTTAAAAACTGATCTCTAAAAAAAGACATGTAGTATAAAGATTATGAAAACCTTAAAACAGAGCACAAAGGCGTTTTGTATTTATTTATTTATTTATTTTTTACAGGGACAACTGGTGCATGCTCAATTTGAGTCAGGCTGTCTGCAAAGCTCTGCAGGTGTACAGCAGCACCTGACTGCACCTTATGCATGACTGCAGCTGCAATCTTCCTGAAAATGAATCTCAACCTTCTTGGATTTAAAAACAAAAAACAAAAAAACACACCAAAGAGACAAAAACCTCTACATATTAAACTAAGAAAAATAATAAAAATAAAACCCACATATCCACATGTTTAATTTTAGCATTTTTTTTCTATCCAATACTATTTATTAGCTAATATTTATATGGATCAGGGAACATGTGGGTTTTCCTGAGTGTGAATAATGTGATTCTGTTGTGTTGGTGAGATTTAGGCTCTGACTCTGTGAAGGGCCTCACAAGCTGTTCAAGGGCTTAGTGTTCAGTTTCCCTTCTGCTGGGCACTTAAATGGCACTTAGGAAATGTGACATTTTAAATGAATTTGAATTATGAGAAGCTAGTTTTTTTTTTTTTTAAACTTGCTGCCCTCTTCATATAGCTTTAAAGTATGGAAATGGATAATACAAGGGGGAAAGAAAGGAATAGCTATTTTTTTTTTTAAACCAGTATATATATTTTTTTCAGATCAAGTAAAACCACAGTGGTCTGGGATTTTTATGAAAACAGAAGTTTTACGTCAGCAGAAAATTCTGTGGTGTTAAATCATTTACTCATGCACATATCTTTGTATAGGATATAAAACCTCATTTTCCTTTATCTTATTGTTATTATTTTAACTGGAATAAGGCGCATAGAATTGATGAGCAACAATGCACACATACAACAATTCTGACTGGGTGAGTTATGAATTATTAAGTGGAAAATTTAGATAAAATAGCAGATGACTCGACAGGGAAAACTAGATGAAAGTAACTGATGAAAAGACCTTACAGATAAAATAAGAATGTGCAAATTAAAACATTATATTTTCTTAAGTCCAATAGTTTTTCTCTTATCTTGAAAATAGTTATTTATTGGAAAAAGAGAAATCCAATTCTGTAAATTTGTATGCAATGTTTTACTGACCTTCCCTGAGCCTGGTTCCTTATAAAATGAGGGAACAGAACTAAAGGAACTCTAACAGCCCTTCCATTAAAAGCTAAAATTCAGTGCTTCTCTGTTCAGACCTCAGGAAGTTAATATTCAATACACTTTAAGTAAACATTTCTTATCATGAAATAGTGCAAATATCACTTGGCTATGAATAAGATTTTTCTTGAAAAATTTTAAAAGCCACCTTTCTTTTCAAACATTTCCATAAATAAGCAAATAGTCTATTGATAAAACCAGAGGGCAATATTTCCCAGTATTTTCTGTTCACAAATAAAAGCCAAAATACTATTTTCATTTACACCACTGTAAAAATTACGGCATTCATCTGGCATTTTTTCTTAAATAAAAATGAAAACATTCCTTATATGAATGCTTCTTTTAGACCTCTTTTCCCCCCCAATTATTTTGTTTAATCATTTGTGCAAAGTTTTTCTGACTGCAATTTCTAAGCATAAAAATGTTATGAACACTTACTATCTTTTATTTCTAAAGCAATGTGTTTTATACCTAAATTTATAAATAATATGTTTGGAAGCTACTCACTTAAAATGAAGATCTTTGAAAGTAAAATGGGTTTCAACAATCCCTGTAGTTTTCACTCTGGTTCTGAGAACATCTTGCTGAGTTGGGATATAATTTGGTTGTGCTATTCTGTCCAAATCATTCAAATAGCTGAAAAAACAGACAACAAAACAACATGTAAATCATAAATGTTGCCAATAAAGATAATCCAAAACAAAGACTATAATATCTTAATGCATGCCATACTGTGAAATCACTGGAAATGTTTTTTAGTTTCTGTGTAATGATGTAAAACAATCAATTTAGTCTTAGATCTTACAGGATTTCTACTGACTGAAATGAAACTGTTTATAATTCTCCAACCACCAATTTTTTTTAGTATTTTAAAAATGTGTACTTTCTCTTTTAGGTTCAGTAATCCAAAGGAAAAAGAGATTTAAAAAAAAAATCCCAAGCTAATGAACACCATGAATTTATGCTTATTATTCATTACACTTTTTTGATGAACTGTTCTTATCTTCTATATATTACTCTTCTGTTAAAGATTTTAAAAGTTTTAATTTTGGTTCAAGTACTGAGGATACCTTAGGCAAAGGTTGAATGAGATGCTGCTGCTTCTTAGTCTTATCTGCAGGATAAGACTGCACATGACTCCTGTAGTCTGCTCTCAAAACCAACACCCACATTATACTTCTCAATGATTTTAGTCACTCATCTAATACTCTCTCCAAAGGATGTCAACTATTTCATGATACAAAAATGTAGTGTCACCATATAATGCAATATAAAAATGAAAATTATTTTTTTCACTATTATGTGGTAGAGGCAATAACTAACAGAAAGTCCAGGTATGGAAGGTTAATAAGGGCCTGAATGTTAAAGGATTCATGGACAGTGATAATATACTCAGAAACATGAACAATGGGGTGAAAAACAGGGCATGTCACTTCTGTTAGAAGCAGTGGAGATGGAAACAGTGAGGTCTTAATTCTTGGAGAGCAGCCCCATTAACAGGCTGTGTACAACCTAAATGAGGTCAGCTGAACATGGTGGGCATCCCTGCAATGTTCTGAAATACTACAGCAGCACTAGACAGATAACTTAGAAATAATTTAGGCACAGAGAAACACCAACTACTGAAACTGCAAATTGGTATTAAACTCTGAACAGAATGCTTAGCCATTCAGAACAGGGTCTTAAAAACCAAAGGAGTTTGTTACTTTACAGTGCTAGGGATTGAACCCAGAGCCTTGTGGAAGTTTGGGAAGTGCTCTACCACTTGAGCTACATCCTAACTATTTGATTCATTCTGGATAGAGTTGAGAAATTATCCAAATCCTGAATTAGTAACAAAAATGTTATAAACAGTCAAGTGTGTGTGTGTGTGTGTGTGTGTGTGTATGTATGTATGTATGTATGTATATATGTGTGTGTGTATGTATGTATATATATATATATAGATAGATAGATAGATAGATAGATAGATAGATAGTGTGGGTACTACAATACAGAGGAGATAACGCCTGTTACCTAAACAAAGCAAAATTTGTAGAACAACACATGCTTCAGATTCTGGAGTCTTTCAGATTCTGGATTTTTGGATTAGAAATGCTAATCATTTCTTGTAGACGTGGTGATACCAGTCAGTATTATATTTGCTGAATTTAAGAGAATCTTATCACAGTGGTAACAATACCCTTGTATTTTCTCTGAGCCTTTAATGCCATAAGTATGCTATATATTACATGATGTATAATATGCATGTATTACATATTATACATTATGTACCAATATATTATACAAGGTTACAATTTATCATAAGAAAATATGATTTAACAAATCAACCAAATGAACCACACCAACATTTTACTATTGACCCCTTTAAAATAGTTCTTATTTAAAATGTGCTTTGATTACTCAGATACATTTTTTATTAAAACTGCTATAATTCTAATAGACCCTAAAATATGCATACTCATATTTCAACAAAACGGAAAAGAAAAACAGGCATTGTAAAAAAAAAAAAAAAAAACCTCCCACTGTGGGCTGGTGTTGTGTGGCTCAGTGGTAGAGCACTTGCCTGGCACATGGGAGGCCCTGAGTTTGGTCCTCAGCATCACATAAAAAATAAAGTTAAAAAAAAAATCACATTGTTTTAAATTATCACAAGTTTAAACTGCAAATGGATACTTAGTCCTAATGACAGGATAACACCACCTCCAGTCCAGAACTCAGAACTAAAGATACATGTCAGCACTCCAGAGGAAAAGATTTCTCTGACTTCCTTCTTTCTTGAAAACTGACTACATTATTACATATTAAGTTTAGAAAAAGCAAAAATAATATAACAATAACCAAAGCAACATGTCTTTCCCAACGCATGTCCAAACAGCATGCACTGGAACAGATGGTTCTTGGTCAAAGAGGATGGAGAGGCCTGGAAGTATCCCCACATTGTGAGGAAGAGGCCTTCAATCTATGCACCCAAGGAGTGCTTCTTAGTTACTGAAGCAGCTCCTTTTGCTAAGCTTAGCAAAGAGCAATCTTCTATCTCTAATTGTCACTACAATTTGAATTTTTCAGCAGGTATTGATAGTGGCAAAGCAAATAACATGGCTTAAGAGTTGTGTTTTTCCTTTAAGTAATTTTTCTAATTTGTCTTCAACCTTTTGTGAAGTTCAGCTTATTAATTCATTTATTATTAAACAAGATCAGTCTGAGTGACAACTACCTGTCAGGCTATGGTGATATGTTAGGCAAAAACAGACATTACTGAATTCAGTGTAGTGGCAGAGACAGTAAATGATTAAATAGTCACTACATAACAAGAAAATAAAATAACCTCAAAATATTTGTAATTCTGAAGGAAAAGTACAGAGTATTACAAGTACCTAACAGTAGAGCAAGGATCTTCTCGAGCACCAAAGAGTGTTTTCTTGTAGAAGTGATGACACCAGTGAGAAAGGTGGGCTCATATTCAATAAGCCACACAGGTAACAAGGTGTTTGCACAAGTATGAAAGTTAAAGTATAAATTAAGAAACAGGGTTACAAAGATTGCTGTGGGTGATGTGATGCATGTTATTAATTCACATTAAATCACAGGACACACGGGGCACACTCAGATGTCCAAAAACATGTGATAAGACACTTGGGTCCACACCCCATTAGTCTGTTGCTCACTGTAACCACATGCATGCCATTTACCAAGAGCCTCAACACTTGTTCTCATCTAGCTAATCCTTACTTTGGTTCCTAACAGCCAACACAACTCTTTCAGCAAAACAGAACACTATCAGAAAGTAAAGAGTACATAATACATATTTTAGAAACCAATTAATGCTACTTGTGCAATATCTGACATTTCTGGGTATGTGACCCAAACTATGGAACAATCACTTGGTGTTTTTATATCATTTTTTGTGTGTGCTATATCACAATATAGGAAGTTGTCTGGGTTTTATCACAACTTGCTTTGCAAACTTTCAGGGTTCACCACCTGTAAAATTAGGGCAGGCTTTTTTTCTAAAGAACTTATATGTAAGTATCTGTAAGGCTATGTGTGGTGGTGCATGCCTGTAATCCCAGCGGATGGGGAGGCTGAGGCAGGAGGATCGCAATGGTGAGGAGCTAAGCAACTCAGTGAGACCCTGTCTCTAAATAAATAAATATATATACACACACACACATATATATATACATATATATATGTATATGTATGTGTGTGTGTGTGTGTGTGTGTGTGTGTGTGTATATATATATATATATATAAAATAAGTATTTGCAAACAGTAGCTTATGTCTCAGGACACATACAGCAAACAACCTTCAGGTGTAGCGGTATTTTACTTAGTGAAAAAATATCTTGGGAACACCATCCAGTACTTCAAAAGATCCCTAGTTTAGGTGCCTGTCACTGAACAAGTACACTTCTTAGGCATCATTAGCATTATGAAAAGCACCCACATCACTTACCCTCTCATTTGGCTAGCTTCAAGTAAATTAGACATATACTCAAATGCACCGTGAACTTTTGGAAATTCCAATTATTTTCTTGGAAATATACAAGATTCATTCCCATTATGCATGCTTCAATTAAAGTTTACATAAGCAAGAATCTCTTAAGGTACCACTGAACACACAGGAAATAAAAACATTCCTATCCATAAACATACAAAAAAGAGAAAGTTTTAAAATATTGTCATCCTGAGTTGTACAAGAATATGTCAACCAATTCTGCAATAAAATTGATTTGGAGGTATATTTGACTCACAAGTAATTATTCATGATAGTGCAGTTCAGAAGTTATGATTACTTACTATGCTGCAGAATCATTAAGCTGGTACTCTCGGGATCTGTTGAAACAGGCTTGTACACCGCTATCTTTCCACAATCTCTTTATAACTCCAGCAAGTTCTACAGTCATAAAGCCTTCTTCAGCAGCTCCAGCAAGCACAAAGAGTTGGCGGGCGTCATCCTGAACATTCAACAACCCATTTTTTAGAGAGTAAAAAGAGAGACATTAGAGATTAAAAAGTACAAATGGAGAGATTAGAGATAAAAATGCAATATTGAATTTCCTTATATTTTGATAGAAGTGTCCTAGCTTCTCTCTCTCTAAAACACCCTTAAGAAATTGGCTTAACCAAGAGAGTATAATCATAAATCAGGAGCTTATGTTTTATGGTATTAGCAATATTCACCAAGGCACCAGGAAGCTGGCAGAATTTCTTCAGTTATGGTACATGAAGGGGACCTGAGTTAACTATCTACAGTTTTCTGCATACTAGATATGATCATTTTTGAGAAAACAGAGGAAGAGTCTTGTCTTGCTCCTTCTTGCTCAAGATGTTTTCAATCTAAGAAACATAAAACACCATGAATGATTACATTAAATAGAATCCATTTAAGTGTAGCTTTCTGATACAATAAGAGAGGTAAATAGAGAGCCTACATCCTGGGAACAAATCTTTACTCCTCACACTTCAGATAGAGCCCTAATATCCAGAGTATACAAAGAACTCAAAAAATTAGACAATAAGAGAACAAACAACCCAATCAACAAATGGGCCAAGGACCTGAACAGACACTTCTCAGAGGAGGACATACAATCAATCAACAAGTACATGAAAAAATGCTCACCATCTCTAGCAGTCAGAGAAATGCAAATCAAAACCACCCTAAGATACCATCTCACTCCAGTTAGATTGGCAGCCATTATGAAGTCAAACAACAACAAGTGCTGGCGAGGATGTGGGGAAAAGGGTACACTTGTACATTGCTGGTGGGACTGCAAATTGGTGCAGCCAATTTGGAAAGCAGTATGGAGATTTCTTGGAAAGCTGGGAATGGAGCCACCATTTGACCCAGCTATTCCCCTTCTCGGTCTACTCCCTAAAGACCTAAAAAGAGCATGCTACAGGGACACTGCTACATCGATGTTCATAGCAGCACAATTCACAATAGCTAGACTGTGGAACCAACCTAGATGCCCTTCAATGGATGAATGGATAAAAAAAATGTGGCATTTATACACAATGGAGTATTACTCTGCATTAAAAAATGACAAAATCATAGAATTTACAGGGAAATGGATGGCATTAGAGCAGATTATGCTAAGTGAAGCTAGCCAATCCCTAAAAAACAAATGCCAAATGTCTTCTTTGATATAAGGAGAGTAACTAAGAACAGAGTAGGGTCGAAGAGCATGAGAAGAAGATTAACATTAAACAGGGATGAGAGGTGGGAGGGAAAGGGAGAGAGAAGGGAAAATGCATGGAAACGGAAGGAGACCCTCAGAGTTATACAAAAGTACATACAAGAGGAAGTGAGGGGAAGGGGAAAAATAATACAAGGGGGACAAACGAATGTCAGTAGAGGGGGCAGAGAGAGAAGAGGGGAGGGGAGGGGAGGGGAGGGGTGATAGTAGAGGATAGGAAAGGCAGCAGAATACAACAGACACTAGTATGGCAATATGTAAATCAATGGATGTGTAACTGATGTGATTCTGCAATCTGTATATGGGGTAAAAATGGGAGCTCATAACCCACTTGAATCAAATTGTGAAATATGATATATCAAGAACTATGTAATGTTTTGAACAGCCAACAATAAAAAATTAAAAAAAAAATAAGTGTAGCTTTCTGATATAATTTATAGATGCAAAATATGTTAAGAGAAAGGAAAAAATCTATGTGGAGTAAGCAATAAAGGTTTCACACAAAAAAAATGGTCTGTAGATTCACAGGAGACTTTAAAATGTATATACATCAAAACCAAAGAGGAAGCAGTTGGGAGCAGGTGTTTGCCAACTCAGGCAAGGAGAACAAAATAAGCACATCTTGGGAATAGAAATATTCAAGACACACACAGAAGACAACAGACAAAAAATTCGAAGTAAGAATACTGTCTATAAAGTTAGCTAAATTGTGCTTAAATATGAGGCTACTAATATTAAGTCTGATCTACAAGTAATCAACCACTCATGACCAGTGCTGTCAAAGAAAAAAAATGTAATGTAAGCAATAATGCAATCTAAATTTTCTAACCACCACTTAAAAGAAGGAAAAGCAAAAAAGGTCACATGAAAATAATTTTAATAATATGTTTTGTTTAACCTATATACAAAAATATTATAACTCAACATGTAAACAATTAAGTTTATGAGATAATTCAAATTTTTATACATATTGTCTTCAAAATGTGCTGTGTATTTTACACATACATCACATGTCAATTCAGAATAGACACATTTTATTCACTCAATGGTATATGTACGTAGAAGCTACCTACCATACTTGATAATATCACTCTATCCTCCAGGTAATAACACAGCTAATTCAAAGTGGATGGAGGAAGGGAGAAGCTGCTATCTTCATAGAGGTTTTCATTAACCTGAGACATGTTAACTGGGTGGAAAATATTATCATCAAGGGGCATTCTTCCAGATACAGATGGCCTTCAGTTTTCTATGGTTTCTGTACCGCAGATCTAACAAACTTCAGATTGAAGATATTTGAAAAAATAATTGCATCTGTACAAACTTTTTTCCTCAATCCCTAAACAATACTATATAACAACTATTTATATGACATTTACATTGTATTTAGGTATTATAAGTATTCTAGAGATAATTTAAAGTGTATGGAAAGATATGCATAGATTATATGCAAATATTGTGCCATTGTGTAAGACACTTCAGAATCTTTGGATTTCAGTATCTAATGATGGTCCTGGAACCAATCCCCCACAGATACGGAAGAATAAATGTATGGTACTAAATGCTTATAGAGAGGAGGAACACATTACGATATGGTATACAGAAGAAAAGATGCAGTTGGTGACACAGCTCATAGCTGACAATGTAAATTCATCCTGCTGCCAATTTGTGAAGCATTTCCTTTTCGGCTGGAACTCATCATGAAAAATAATTAAGTCTCAGCATGGGAACATATTATTCAAGCATATGTTCCCCTTTTTAGTAAATCACAAGAGAAATATGGGCAAGCAAGCAACATGTGCATAATATCCTTAATAAACCCTATATATCATGGTTTCAAGTCATTCTGAAAACCACTAACCCAATTCCATTAAAAGACTATTCAATTTTCTAAATATTTACTCATATGTGAGAAATTTCTACATTTGGCCATTTTTATTTATTAAACTACATCAAATAATCTCTGTTTTGGAAAAATGCTTTTCACTTAAGTATGCTTTTAAATGCATTTTGGTTATAGTATCTTTTTTCAATTTCAATAAATTTTTGAAAGAGAAAGACCAATGCCCTCCAGGATAGGTCAGGAGATCATTCTTGCCTCTAACTTTCTAGGAAGAAACCTAAAGAAAACGCAGAAGAAACTTTGGAAGCTCTATTTATAAACTGCACTTTCTGTGGCATTCAAAAATGTCTCTTCCTTTTTTTAGATTCAACATACAAGTGGGATCATGCAATATTTTTCTTTCTGTGTCTGGCTCATTTCACTTAGCATAACTTCCTCCACATTCAAATGAATGAACGAATGTCAAATATACAGAAAGACTTCAACAGCAGCGGGACATAGGAAGTGAGAAAGGAAATGAAGTGATGTAGTTCAAAGGTCAAAGGAACAGACATGTAGGATGATCAAGTCCAAAGAAATAATTACAACATGCGAACTATAAATAAACAAAAAAGTATTGCATCAGAAATTTTTGTTAAGTATATTTTAGCTGCTCTTGTCACAAAAAAAAAAAATGTAATTACTTGAAATGAACGATATGTTAATTTGCTTCAGAATAGTAGCCATTTTACTATCCATATGTATCCCATAAGGTCAAATTCTAAACCTCAAAAATAGATAGTATTAAAATGCAAAATAGCTTCTACTGGAAAAATAACTAGAACATTCACCTATCCATGTCAGTAGCTGAATGTTCAGATGCTGAATTTGAGCTGGAAGGTACTGTAGAAATTATTCTATGTAATCTTTTGTTTTGTACAAAAAGAGCCCAAGGGCACAGAGAAGTTAGGCAATCTGCTTAAAGTTTCACAGCTAAAAAGTCACCCATTGGTTATTTAAATTGGTAAGTCCTAAAATAGGACAAATTTCAAAATTGTAGATTGGAGGCACTGATTTTATCTTGACAAGGAATGAGGTCTTCATAGGTTTGTATTAAAATTAATTAAGAACATTTATAAACACAAACATGAGGGTATCAAAAGAGTGTGGTACACAGTAGGAAAAGGGCAGGTATTACTGAAGACTGAAGTTTGATTAGGAGGTACAAAGGCTAGTAAATCAGTATACAGAAACTTTTTTGTGGTAATTAAAAAAAAAAAGAGCACCTAGCAGGGGTGTGGCTCAGTGGCAGAGAACACTTGGCTTGTGCAAGGCCCTTGTTCAATTCACAGCATTCCCCTCTAAAAAATATAAATAAAGAAGTAAAGAAAAAGGAATATTATTTGCCAAGCAATTATTTGAGAGTAGCAAGGGGGAAAGAAATTCTTGGATGTAGCCAAGTTAAAATGTTTTTAAATTACTAAGGACTAAATGAAAATAAGATGGTTCAGAGAATGCAAATTCCATATAACATATACATATGCTATATGGATTTTGGAAACTCAAAAGAAGCTACAATATGTTATTGTGTCTAGAGTGAAGTAACCAGTCTTTCTCCGTGAAAATCAGGGAACACCTAGTATGCAGTACTTTCTTGCTGTTTAGTGATGTGCATTATATGTGCAGCTATCATCACTTGATCAAATCCACAAGAGTCTGTTCAGGATGGGAGATGGGGAGATGCTGAGGGACCACAATGGCTATCCTCTGACATACTAAAGATCATAAAAGGTAAGAAGGAGTAAAATTCCTGTTGAGCTTAGAGCAGAAAAAGGAGCATTCTTAAGACAAAAGATATAAGCTTTCAATTGAATAATGGGAAAACACTTTAACAATCACAGCAACCTAAAAGAATAAAAAACGGACAGAAAATTTC